CCCTCGCGCAAGACGCCGGCCACCGGCGTCGAGATACCCCGGGACTGCCGGCTTCCAAACTAGTTGCTCCTTAATCTCGCAAGCAGTGATGACGCGACGCATTGAAACGGATATGAAGCAAATAACATAAGTTGACAAGCTACCACATAACATTTTAATTGGTTTGACATAAGTTCGACATAACATAACCAACTAAGCCTGTAAGTTTTGGACGTCAATAATAGTTTGACCTAATAAACTAAGATCCAGGAGTGTAAGGATCCCTCGCACACCTATGTCCCTTCGGATTTGTTGGCAACACATTGGAAATGTAGCCAACGTCGGTGTGGTCGCGTCGCCGGTGCGTACTGCTCGTACCCTGCAAGTATGTGATATGCACGATTACTTAGAATTCTTTATGATCGTTAGTTCATGTAGCCTACGTATTTAAAGAAACTACCTTTGTTAGTACCTATGAGGCTCCTTGGGTACCAAGCGGGACACCACCTAGCTGAGACATGCCGATCTTGTCCTGTGGCCAATCTTTCCCTGGTCGTCGTCGTCATCGTCGTCCTCGTCGTCTTCGGTTGCAGGGTCCTTCCTAGCGCTATGATGTGGTTGTATACGCACCGCGGAAGTAGCACCCGTCACCGGCGGAGAAGAGCTGGCTAGTGTCCTCAAAGAGGCTGAAGACGTGCCACTCGATCGCGCCGGGAGTGGCGGTTCCTCATAAGGAGTGTCTATGCAGCTCAACTTTTGAGCTAGCTTCCTGCAGCTCTTCTTCACCTTCTGCATAAATAGACCTTAAAGTTAGTGCATTTTCCAAACGCATATACACTAAAGAAATAATTTCAGAATGGACTAGTTTATGTTTATCTCCACAAAAGCCTCTAGAACGTCTGGCCCCTGCCCTCTAGACTCGTGAAGCCGGTACGCTGCTTCGTTAGACAGCCTCGATAATTGTGTCGCCTGGGTATAGAAACGCGGTTGAACAATTTTAGTATACATACTTAATACCAAATGGATAACAAATTATACCATTCAAGTATCCTACCACGTATCTTTGTAGCGGGGCTCTCTGTAGCTGTGTGTCCTCTCTAGTGGCAACGTCGTACACATCTTCGATCACATCTTCCTCCGAGTCCTCGTCAATCGCTTCGTCAGTGTACGGGGGCTTGATGTGTGTACTCATAGACCTGTGAAGCCAGCGCAGGTACTCGTCGAAGGTGTGCTAGTCGTGTGGAGGACCCGCATGGACCGGCTGCCGTTCCCTGGTCTCCCACAAGTGGATGTGCGCGTTGTGTGTTACGCGCCAATCCTTGGTCTTGTACCTCTTCCTGCAGTCATACCTGCAACAAAACGATGTTAGTTATACCACACACATCTCTGAATTGTAGCTTTATTATTAATCGATAACTCACTCGTGCAATCCTTGGTTGGAGTAAAGCGGTGGTGGACAGCTTGTCATTCTGCCAAACTGTCTGCAGACCCTGACGGGCATGTGAATCTCGACCACATGGAAGAAAATAAGAGGAACGTTGTAGCGATACTCCTCTGACTCGTCCCTAGTGACAGGACTGAGATAGTACTAGAACTCCGGAGCATCCTAAGGACACTAATGCACCTGAATATTTCGTAATTGAGTTAGCCTGTGATATAGTATAAATCAAACAGGACACAGGTATAATAGTAAAGAGAGCGTAACCTGGTGCTGTGTCAGGACATCGAGACCGTCCGTGTACTCCCTGTACTTGCGCCTCGCATTCCCTCTAACTAACTCTGATTTCGTCCAGATAAACAGAGCTGTAGGGAGTGTATCCTGTCTGTTCTAGTGCTGCATTAAACACGATAATGAATTAGCCATTAATAAACTCATCATATGTAACCATATCGAAGAATATAATGAACCGAAGTACTTACCGGTAAACCAGTATTAAGGGGCCTCCCAACGGGCCATCGTTCCCAACACCAAACCTGGAGTAGGTGCGAGCAACCCCCAAGGTTCGCGTACACTGAGGTGCGACGGCAGGCAACGCATAGCTGTCGATACGTCCATGCCAGGACTGCGCTGCCCCAATTGTATGCCGCTATGTTCTCCCACGGCTGGCGTAGTATGTCAAGGAAGATCCAACTGATGGTGTTGCCCGAGGCGTCTAGGAAGAGGAAAGCACGAAGAAAGTGCCAGAGCCAAACTCGAGCGAACCTATCGATCTGAGCCTGCTCAGCCTGTGGGTCTAAGTAATCAAAGCGCTCCGTGATCTAGGACGACGAAACACCGGAAGTTTTCCTGAAATTTACCAAACAAAATGAGACCCAATGGCTGCAGGAAAGCAATGCAAGTATTAAATAAGCTTCAATTTCTCACTTATTTTTCTTGGAAACCTCGTCGTCCGGTGGAAGAAAGCCAGTAAACTGAGCTAGCAACTTCCTCCAGTGATCGTTGTCAACTATCCTTGTCACGGGAAGTCCCCCCAACCGAAGGCCAAAAATAGCCTTCACGTCCTGCATGGTCAAGGTCATCTCGCCACAAGGTAGGTGTAATGTGTGGGTCTCAGGCCTCCACCTATTATAAGAATAGGACGACTGTTACTTGTCTCAAATTTGTTACAAGAAAGTTTACGTATAAAGAATGCACTCGCACCTGTCTACAGCTGCAGTAAGTAGTGCTGGGTCAAGGGGCGAAAGACCGTGGTTGACAACACGGACAAGCTTGAGGAAGCCGGCACGCCGTATGTACGGCGCGTAACGCTCGTCCCACTGGTGCGCCCTGGTATGCGTGCGGGGCCTCAAAGGAGGCAATGCCACCTCTGCGTCGTTGTCACTCAAGATATGTGCTCAGTGCTGGTCGTCGTACTCCACCTTAAGAATGGGGTACAACGGGTGCTGCGTGGGTGGGGCCATCATGTTACAAATCGATAAACAAAGCGTTAGAGTATTCAAATTAACAAAATTCAAATTAACATTATGTAGCATTGCAAAATTTGAACTACTTATTATCCAATACGAACATAATATGAAAGCACATGTATATATTCAAAGTAACATTAACAGACATCACGCATTTGTAACATAAACAACTTCACTAGGAATATAAGCATTTGACGAAACTTCATAAAGTCATCAAAATCGACGTATCACACACTAGTAAGTACCGACATTTGTAAACTAGTAGGTATACCCAAAATTCCTAACTAAATAACTAACTATAAACTAAATAATAAATACCTAATCAATCCCTAAACCCAAATTCCTAACTATACTAGAACACACAGCCTCGAACCTAAAAACTACCTACGTAAATCATAAACAAATTCACTAACCTAAGTATCCTAAATCAGTAAGTATCCTAAATTTGACAAACTATCATAAATCAATAACAATCATAAAACCCTAACTATCCTAGATTACTCATTATCATAAATCACTAATTATCATCGATCACTAATTATCCTAAAATAATAATAATCAAAATAACATGAAATCGAAAGAGAGGTACCTTAGGAGCTGACGGCCTTGACGCGCCGGCGTTCGTGGCGCGGCCAGCGCGGGCGTTGCGCGGTGGGACTGGCCGGGCGCGGTCGGCGCGGGCGCTGCACGACAGGAGTGGCCGGACGCGGCGTAGGCGGCCGCGGGAGCTACGCGGCGGCGGGGCAGAGGCGGCTGGCGACGGGCGGGCGGGCAGGGCTGCGAGCGGGCGGCGGCCTCGCTCGCGGGGTTTTATTTGGCCCAACTGTGCCATGCTCCGTGGCGCGGCACTGCCGCGCCAAGATCGGTGGCGCGGCAGGCCCTGCCCCGTCAGCGGTCAACAGACCCGATTACCGCCACGTCAGCCCTGGCGCGGCACAGGCATTTGGCCACGCCAGGGCAATAGACGCGGCCAAAAGTGTTAGTTAAAAAAAACCGGTCGTGTTAGATTTAAAATTAGTTTCCAAAAAGTGTTAAAATTAAAAAAAAAATCTCCTAGTGATAATGAAAAAGATGTAACCATTTAGCACCAAAGTTAGAGAAACCAGTCCAGAAAAGTTCTCATTTATGCATCCAGGGTAATACAGCAAAATTGCTAACAAATAATCTGCTTGCATTTTGAAAATTAGCATTTCTAAAAAACAGAGGGATAATGATTGAATTGCCAGCATGATGGGAAAGTTTATCTGAATTAAAAATGCAAAGTTAAGGAGAATTCCATGTGTGAAACCCTGTTAGCCAAAATAATGGGATTGAATATTCTGACAGTCCAATCAATATTCTATTAATAAAAGTTGTAATGAAATAAAAGAGGATACAGTTAGATTTGGAAATAATGAATCATCAGGGCTGACGGAGTGAAGGTTCTCAGTAGCAATGTTCAGACTATTTCCTAACCACTGCCAGATATTCTGCCAAAAGGGCTAGGGCACACACACAAACTGTAGGTACTGCAACCATTGTGAACTCACAAAGCCATGGAACAGTAATTTTTTAGTAGACATTATTAACTTTTGGCCTCAACTAAAGCACTGACAGAAAAGACTGCCTTCATTTCATTGACATTTCTTCAATTGGCCAAGGAAGTGTATGAAAGCATTAAACAAGATATGGTCCAGTTCAATTATGTTGAACTGGACCATATGTTCCAGTTACATGAATAAAAGGGCGTACCCTGGCCGGCTTAATTTAATTTTCTTAGTGATTTTCTCTCAAAAAGAATTTCCATGCAACCCTCAACTTTCACACTAAAAAGATCAAACCAGCACCCCAAGTCATGAATAAAGGCTGCTTATGTAATTAATTCACCTACTGCAAAACAAAAGGCCTAGCAGAAATTCTGGACCCCAGTCCTTGGATATGTTGCTAATATCAGTTAAAAACACCAATTGTTATGTGAACAATTGCAAAACTTAGTCATCAAATAGGATGAGCAGTATGCATTGTTTACCAGGACGCTTTCATTTTGCGCATTCATATTGGTATCGAAATGCAAGTCAATACATCAGTTCAATGCGTGCTACAACTACATGCATGTGCCATTGTAGTGCTAGTGCTCAATTGTTTTGTTGGATGCCACTGCCACCATAATACTGTTTTGTTGTCTGACGAGAAAATTCTGCAAATGTCATCCCTTCTTTTAGCCTTGATGACATAGGGGGAATTCTTTTCAGAATTTCTTGCATAAATGTATCTTCATCACAAGGCCCTGCTGATCCATCACTGACGTCTGAAGTCTCCTTGCTAAGAATGGATTCACCTTCATCTAAAGAGTAACCAGGATAAGCTAAAGTTTTGTCCCATGAGGGCTGTAGGAAGACAACAAAAGTCTCACGGCTGATGTCTGTGGAAGTCAAAGGTCTACTCACAGCATGAAGTGTAGATTTCAATTTCCCTTGGGACAAGATGTCTGCTGCCTCGCCAACCTGAACAATGAAGTTCTCAGGAGAGCATCTAACAGAGAATATCTTCCTTCCATTGCATAAATGCAAGTGTGTGTGCCCATCAGGAGGATGACATTCCAGGTTGACCAAACTGTTTTCGTCCTCAGAGGCGCTCAGGAACAATGGTGCTGTTAAAACAGTGAGGATTCCATAGTCATAGTGCCATTCCTGCCATAGGTTTAACAGGGAAATTTCAGCAGCCGCCTGACCCTGAATCGAGGCATCCTTAGAATCATTTTCTTTTATTGACATTACAGTAGTCCCATCTTCTGACTTAATGCAGCACGGGCACAGTGATTCGGACCTCCTTTCAGAACATGACTGATAAGGTTTTACTGCCACTTTACTCACCGAACCTTTCCTCTTTGTACTGTTATCCCTGATAACATTGTTATCCAGCTCAGAGTGGTAGTGAATGAGCCTCGCTTTTGCCGTCCCAAAGTCAGTGATGCTCTGCTCTAGCTGACCTCTACCGATGGCAATATCGCAAGCTCGTGCAACCAAAATCCCAAGCTCCATCATGTACAAACCAAGCTCCTTAACGAGGCCACCAAGATTCTCCATGTCATCGTCACCGTTAGCGTCCACGGATTGGTTACAATCCTGTATCTTATCTGAAGAATTAAAACCGTTGTTGTTGTTCACAGACTCAAGCAAGGTGAGTTCACCTGAGTGCCTTAGAAGCTGCGCGAACGAGGATACAGACCGATTGAGCTTCTTCAAAGGCACGTCGCTGCCCAAACCATGCTTCTGAAATAATCGACGGAAATATATCAAGGCACATTGCAGTTTCAACTTTCATGGTCAACAACGAGAAGAAGGAAAGGGGAGGGGGAGGGGTACCTTGAGGAGTTGGGAGCGGATCGGGTGGTCCATGAGGGCGAGGCGTCGGGCCAAGGGGAGGAGTCGCCGCCGGAGGGCGCCCACCCGCGGCACCCCGGCGACGGCCAGCAGCCCGGACCCGCCTCGGCCGAGCTCGGTCGCGACGGCTTCCACAACGCGTCGGAAGCGGCCGTCGTCAGCAGGCGTCTCGGGAGATAGGAGTACGACTAGGTCGGAGAAGGGGAGCTCCGCGATGTCCAGCGCCGTCGCCGCCGCCATCTTCGGCACAGGCAGGACCGCAGGCCACAGGAGAAAGGCAGCGGCGGCGATGCCCTGTGTAGTGTGTCTCAGGCAAATGGGCCATGACTTGTTGGGCTGTGTGGGCCTGTGGTAGTTTTTGGGCTTGGAACATAGCAGTAGATCGAATTCTATCTCAAAAAAAGTAAATTACATGACCGGTTTTTAGATGGGATTCAAATGGAAAAGGTTTCAAAAATCCAAAGTTGTATGTAACGTCAAGTTGTACAACTTTGGTTTTGGTCGCTTCTCCATCCGAGCATCTTTGAAAATTTTAAATTTCAAATGTAAACAATTTAAACATAATTTTGTTTGGATAAATAATTTCAAATAAAAAGGTTGTATAACTCTTCGAGAGATATACCTTTGATTTGTGTCGTTTCTGTCGTTTGTAAATTTTGAATTTCAAGATGTGAGGACTTCAAACTAGAATTTAGGACCATAGATTATTTCAAATGAACAAGTTATCGACCGCAATGTTCTATATTTTGTTGAGATCTATAACTTTTGCTTTGATCATTTCTCCATCCGATGTCGTTTAGAAAATTAAAAATTTTGAATTTCAAAATGTGAGTACTTCAAACTAAATTTTCTTGATCTAAATTATTTTAAATAAAAAATATGTCAACTACAAAGTTGTAGATCACGAGATATACAACTTTGACATAAACTTTGCCTTCATTCAACTTTGTTTAAAAAGAACTTTACTATGCTACCCTATTTTTAGAATCGGCTGAATCTAGAGTTATGAATTATTGACTAACCATCAATAAAGTTATAGAGGCAGCTGAATCTAAAGTCTCATCTAAAGATAGGAGCATTTATAGAGAGCCTGAAAATACCAATCGCTCCTACAAATGCATTTGTAGAGGTGGCTTGTTCTGAAAACCATTTTTAGAGGGAATGGTAGAATGAGCCACCTCTATTAAAAAAGAGACATGTTTACAAATAGTATTTTAGTAGCGTTCCCTTTTTATAAAGATATTAAGACGTCAAGTATAGTAGAGTCCTTGTTGTTAGACTGTCTCCAACAGCCTATGCATAAGGCCACCTAAACCCAAAATGCATGGTGCACAGTAAAAAAACCCCTCCAACAGAGTAGGCAATTAGAGTGCCCATTTTGCGTGGGAGGAGAGATGGAAGGCAAATAAGCGTCCTCCCGACACACGACCCAAATCTCTGGCGCGGACGGCACGGCCACGGGGCGCAGCGGCGAGGAGAAGATGGGTGGGCCAGGTGGCATGCTGAGGTGCACCAGGGCTGGGCATGCCCCACGCGGCGGCGAGGCAGGGTGATAAGACGCGCGGCGGCGGAGTGAACCGGAGCTCTCCCAAGCAGCGTAAATCCTCGACGGCAACGCTAGGAGCGGTGCCTCCTCCCTCACCGGCGGTCGCGGCTGTTTCTCCCCAAGAGCGGCGGCGCCTCCTCCTTCAAGCCAGTGACAACTCCTCATCGCTATCCTCTGGCGGCTTGAGCGTTGACTACCTCTATGCCGTCGACGACGCCATCGCGGCATCCGGTCGCTCCGCCCGCGCCGCCGCCGCCGTGCATGCCACCATGCCACGCCTGGAGGAGGAGGCGCGCTCCCTGCTCTCTTCCTACGCTCCCTCTCTACGGCGCCTCTAGCTGTCATCGAATGACCTCAGCGACGCGACACCCGACACATCCCCATGGCACGACAGCACGCTGAAAGCTCTAGTTTGGTTTTGGTAAACTGATAAAACCGTAAGTGCTAACCTAGTTTATCAAAGTGATTATGAGATAGGTGGCACATTCCAAGTGGTGGAGCAAATGAAGATTATGACATGATGATGGTGATGCCATGGTGATGATCAAGTGCTTGGACTTGAAAAGAAGAAAGAGAAAAATAAAGGCCCAAGGAAAAGGTATAAGTGGTAGGAGCCATTTTGTTTTGGTGATCGAGACACTTAGAGAGTGTGATCACATTTAGAATCGATAGGCGTACTATTAAGAGGGGTGAAACTCGTATCGAAGTACGGTTATCAAAGTGCCACTAGATGCTTTAACTCATTGCATATGCATTTAAGATCTAGTGGAGTGCTAACACCCTTGAAAATGTTTGTGAAAATATGCTAACACACATGCACAAAGGTGATATACATTGTGTTTAGCACTTGGGAGCAAGGGTTCAAAACTTCATCGGTGGAGTGTCCACCTGTAGAGTGCGGACAGTCCAACGGTGCCACCGGCGTCCTGTATAGAAAAGATAGGGTTTCACAGAGTGCACCGGACACTGGCCTCAACTAGACCAGTGCGTCTAGTCAGTGGAAGCAGTGAAGACGCTGGTGTCGGTCTTTGACCGGACGCTGGGTCACTTCGTGATCAGATGCTGGCGGGGTGCGTCCGGTCCTGCTGACGTGGCAGCGCACAGAGGAGACAGTGAGTGACCGGATGCTGGGTGAGCCCGGTCGGGCAGGGCCGGACGTGTCCAGTCGTGAGTGGAGGCTTACTAGAAGTGACCGGACATTGGGGTCCTGCGTCCGATCGTGATCCAACTGACGCGTCCAGTCACAGCTAGAACCTTACTGGAAGTGACCGGGCGCTGGGGTCATGTGTCCGGTCGTGGCACTGTGCTGCGTCTGGTCATCACTTGACCGTTGGGATCGAGCGCTTAGTATTTGAAGAGAGAGATGATGTGGCAGTCATCCGTTGACCGAACGCTGACAGGGTGCGTCCGATCGATCTGATCAGAGCATCCGGTCACCCCGAGCAATGCCCAGTAAAGGGGTACAACGGCTCTATTTTGTGGGGGCTTCTATTTAAGCCCCATGGCCGGCTCAAGCTCACTCTCTTGGGCATTTGCATTGACATAGCAACCTTGTGAGCTTAGCCAAAGCCCTCCCACCCATCTTCATCATAGATTCAACATCTTTGTGAGATTGGGTGTGAATTCAAGTGCATTGCTTGAGTGTTTGCATCAAGAGGCACTTGGTGTTTGTGTTTTGCTGCGGGGTTCGCTTGTTACTCTTGGTGGTTGCCGCCACCTAGATGGCTTGGAGCAGCGAGGATCGTCGAGCGGAGGTTGGTGATTGTCTCCGGCTCCGATCATGGTGATTGTGAGGGGTTCTTGACCTTTTCCTGGTGGAGAGCCAAAAGGTACTCTAGTGAATTGCTCATGGCTTGTGTGATCCTCATCTTGTGTTGGTTGTGCAACACCCTATTGAGGGTTTGGCGTGTGATACCAATTAGCGTGTGAACTTCCAAGTGAGTGAATCGCCACAACGACGACTAGCTTGCCTGCAAGCAAGTGAACCTCGGTAAAAAATAATTATGTCATCATTTGATTCTGAGGTGATTGGTCTTCATTGATATTGATTCTTGTGATTGATTGGTTCATTCCTTGATACGGCGGTATAACCATCTTACTCTCTCTCTTTACATTACCGCAAACTAGTTATCAAGCTCTTTAGTGTAGCTAGTTGTGAGAGCTCGTTAGTTTGGTTAGTGTGGCTCTTTAGTTAGTCTTTGAGAGCACGCTAACTTAGTGTAGTGACGTAGCCATTGTGTGAAAAGAAACTATAGAAACTAGAATCGTGGTAGGTGGCTTGCATTTTTAGTTGGCTAGCGCAACACTTGCTTCGCCTCATAATTGTCTAACCGGTTTGTTAAATGTTGTTATAGAAATTTTTTAATAGGCTATTCACCCCCCTCTAGCCATTAGGACCTTTCACATGCTCTCCCTGACCGCCACGGTCGTGGGCACCATCGCGGCCTGCATGCTGCGCGCCGGGTACGGGCCAGACTTCGCACAGGTGTATGTGTCCGCTCGCCGCGATGCGCTCGTGGAGTCCGTGGTGGTCCTCGGCGTTAAGGCCATCGCTATCGAGGAGGTCCTCAGGATGGAGTGGTTAGCGCTCGACCAAAGGATGCGGCAGTGGAGTCACACCGTGAGGGCCATGGTCAGGACCTTCCTCGCGGATGAGCGCTGGCTCTACGACGAGGTCTTCGCGTTGGATGAGGACCTCAGCCACGAGTGCTTCACCGACAACGCCAGGGCCTGCGTCCTACAGCTGCTCGCCTTCGCAGACGAGCTCGCCGTGTCGCCATGCACCACTGAGAAGTTGTACCACACGCTCGTCATGTATGAGGCGCTCGCCAACGTGCGGTCGGAGCTGGAGGCGCTCTTCTACGATGGCACCATGCATGAATTCTTCGCGAGCGAGGTCTCGAGCACCGTCCAGTAGCTGGGCTCCATCGTACGCCACACCATTGAGGAGTTCAGCCATGCCATCCACGGCGAGGCATCATGGAAGCCCGTCCATGGCGGGGAGATCCACCCCATGACCCACTATGTCCGTAACTACAGTGGCCTCCTCGCCGACTGCTGTGGCACCCTGGACGCAGTCCTCGGCGAAGCCGACCTCGACGCGCGGATGCGGTCTGACGTCATTGCGGCATGACCCGCGTGCCTCGCTCAGATGGCGACGTCGACGGAGGAACAATGCCCTCACGTGGATGGCGGCACCGATGGAGGAACGACGGCCTCGCGTGGATCCGTCGGTAGGAGGTGGTGAGTTTTGGGTTCGCTATTGGAGAAGATAAGATTTGGGTGCGTGACCTTCTTGTTGTACGTGACCCAAACTATGGAATGGGTCTTGTGTTTGGGTATGTGCTGTTGGAGATAGTCTTAGGATCTAATGAACCAAGTAGAGAGGGTTGAACGCCGTGCAGGAATATGTATTGATGGTTGGACTAGTTTATATTAGTACAAAAACGCTTAGAACCAAACATTCGACATCTAGACTCTTCACCCACTCCCTGCGCCACCCGTGCCGCGCCCACCTGCCTTCTACCCCACCGCTACCCATGTCGCCCTCACCCTGCCCTCTATGCGTCGTCATCCTGTTCCGCGTTGCCAGCGAGCTCCGCGCCACCAGCAAGCACACTAGTGATCTCCACGCGCTGACCAGCCTCCATTCATCGAAGCAGTAAGGAGATGTTTGCCCTGAAAGAGCATGTTG